CGCCCACGCCCACGCCCACGCCCACAGCCCACGCCCACGCCCACGCCCACGCCCACGCCCACGCCCACGCCCACGCCCACGCCCACGCCCACGCCCACGCCCACGCCCACGCCCACGCCCCGGGTTGAACACCCACAGCTCACACGCCACCCCGCCCCGCACAACACACACAGTCGGTTTGGAATGCACTCCTAACCCTTCTTCCCCCAACGTCGCCGTACAGGCCATGAGCCCCGTACTTGCTCGTACGGTCGCTGAGACAGAGCAGCTGCTTTCCGAGATCGCCCGGGAGAAGGAGCAGGTGGGGTGGGGGGTTGTGGGAGAGGGGGGATGGGGGAGAGGGGTTTGTGACGTGTATACTGAGATACTGACGGATCGGGGGAGGGGCGTGTTATAAACCCGTACACGTGCACAGGCACGGCGGCATGGCATATACCCACGGCACACACCCGTATACATAGATACATACGTACATACATACGTACTCGCACATGCGTACTTGCATCCCTGTGCACACCACGTCCGCCTCCTAGTGCTCCTGCTAGCACTGACTATTGCTACTACTGCTAGCACTGACTATTGTTCCTGCTCCTGCTCCTGCCGCCGCCAGGTGGTGGAGCCCAAACGTGCGCTGGTGGACAAGGAGGTGCGGCTGGCGGATGAGGCTGCCGCGGCCGCCCGGGCCATTAAGGAGGAGTGTCAGAGCATCCTGTCAGCGGCGCTGCCGGCGCTGGAGGCGGCAATTCAGGTGAGTGCAGGGAGGGGGGTAAGGGGAGGGGAGGGGAGGGGGGAGGGGAGGGGTTAAGGGGAGGGGGGGAAAGAGGAGGGGGGAGGGGAGGGGGGAAAGAGGAGGGGTTAGGGGGAGGGGTTAGGGGGAGGGGAGGGGGTTAGGGGGAGGGGAAGTGGGAAGGAGAGGGGAGTTGAAGAGAGCCGCTCTGCCGCCCTAATATTTCCCTTTTGGGTTTCCTTGGATAAGTCTTCGTGGCAATTTCACGCGCTTTTCACCTGATTACCTGTTCCGAAGCTGGTGTATGTATCGCTATGTAGCTCTGGTACCCCTAAATTCAAATGTATTGCTCAAATGCTTGAAGGGTTTTGGAAAAGAGAAAAAGATGCCCTACCGATTTCGTTTTCGGCCTTACTTACGAACTCGGGCACATTTCTGGGTAAAATCACTTTTTTCCCTTCTACCATCCCTAGATGCCCTTCAATTACTTGCTGCACCTGTCCTCCTCTCCTGCCCTATAACACCAACACCGGCTTTGCGTTTTCTGAAGGTTCATCTTCCGTTTGGGGGCACCTTTCTCCCTGTCGTACACACCGTACGCATCGTACAAACTTCTTCCCTCCGTTCCCTAACGCCCCATAAGGCCCTGGATACCATCAAGTCGGCCGACATAAAGATCGTACAAACGTTCAAGAGCCCCCCGGCGGTGGTTAAGTTGGTTATGGAGGCGGTTTGCGTGTTGCTGGATGTGAAGCCCACCCTGCTGCCCGACCCCAACATGGCGGGTACGACATGGGTTTGGGTTTTATAAGCTCCAGGGGGGGTGTGAGGGCGGTGTGGATGAGGGAACGGAGAGGAGGGGGGTTTGTGACAAGGTAGGGTTTTAGGGATAGGCGGCGAGGGGGAGGGGATGCGGGCCGGTGGGCGGATGTGTGTGTGTGTGTGGTGGTGGGGGGAAAGAAGTTTTGATGCTGCTTGAAGAAGGCTGCGAAAAAGGTGAAGGAAGTCCTGGAGGAGGAGGCTTGAAGGAAGGCGTCCCAGCTCCCAAACCCGGGTTGTTTCCCGCCCACATACTCCCCCCCCCGTTTTCCTTACACTACCCCCGGTTCCCCCACCCCTCCCCCACCCCTCCTACTCCCCTCCCCCTCCTAACCCCCCCTCAGGTCGCAAGATCGTGGACTGGTGGGATGCCTCCAAGCGGCTGCTGATGGACCCGCAGTTCATTCAGAGACTGAAGGACTACGACAGGGACAACATTCCCCAGAGGATCATTGACAAGGTGTGTGTACGGCAGTGTACGGATTATGGATACGAGGTGAAGAGTAGTGGTAGTGGGTGGGTGTGATGTGTGTGTGTCTGTGTCTGATTGCCAAGTTGTCCAATTACACCTCATTCCCCCTTTTCACCGCCATCCTCCCCCCCCTTTTCCCCCCATACCACCCCTCAACCCTCCCCCTTCTTCTCACACACACACACACACGCACACACACACACACACACATACACACACGCCCGGCTCCACGCCCAGGTTCGAAAGGAGTACACCGGGGACCCGGACTTCACGGCCGCCAACGCCGCCAAGGCGTCCAGTGCGGCGGAGGGGCTGTGCAAGTGGGTGCACGCCATGGACCAGTACGACAGAGTGGCGAAGGTACGACACCAAAAAAAGGAAACGAGCAAAGGGGAAAGATGGAGAGCTGTCCAATCCCGTGGTGATTGGGGTGGGCGGGGCATTCTGGTTCCAGACGTACCTTGTACGGCACTCCCCGCCGCCATTGGCTAAAAACGCACATACACACATGCACACATACACATACACACATACACGTCATCACCCGCAGGTGGTTGCCCCCAAGCGGGCGGCTCTGGCGGTCGCTGAGGCCGAGTACGGCAGCGTGCTATCCGGCCTCAACGCCAAGCAGTCGGAGCTCCGTGGCTTGGAGGCCAAGTTGGCGGGCTTGGAGGCGAGGTTGGAGGAGAGCCAGAAGAGGAAGGCGAAACTGGAGGTGGGAGAGGACGTGTGTATGTATGTATGTATGTAACCCCCACCACCACCACCAACTTCCCCCCCACCAACACCGACACCAACACCAGGCCGACACCCAAGCATGCGCTCTAAAGTTGGAGCGAGCCGAGCAGTTGCTGGGTGGCCTGGGCGGGGAGAAGGAGCGCTGGACGCAGGCGGCTGCCGGGCTGCGGAGCCAGATGGCCGAGGTGACCGGGGACATGCTGCTGGCGGCGGGGGCGGTGGCGTACCTGGGAGCGTTCACTATGCCGTACAGGTACGTGGGAGGATGCACGGACAGGGACAGGGGTTTGGAAAAAAGCGAGGGGGAGCGGGGGAAAGGGGTGGGGGTTTGGGGAGGATGAGGAGGTTGGGGGGATTTTGGAGGGGAGGATCCAAAACCCAGGCGTTACATTGAATGTACGGCGTGGGCGTGTCGTACAGGTGACAGCGAGGGTCTAGGTATGTTGTATTTTGCGAAAGGGAGTGGAGGTTTGCAGGTTTGGAGCGGAGAGCGTGTCGTGAGTTTTGCGCCTGTCACTGGATCAATCCTGCTGGTACTCTCGCTCGCCTGCAGCCCCCGCCAACCCCAAGATACACTTCCTTCCTCCCCCTCACACTTCTGGCCGCTGCGCTGCTCACCCTTC